TACAAAGCAGGGCAGTGTGGCTGGAATGTACTGAGTGACACTGACAGTAGAGGCCAGGTATAGTGGTATGTACATGTAATTCCAGGTAAGAGGCTAAGCCAGGAGGACTGCTTTAGGCCAGTCTGGATAGTAACAGGAGGACACCACCTCTAAGAATAAAAAGAGAAATAAAAGTGATTTCGGATGTATTACGTATATGTACCAACTCTCCACAGTGAATTCAGTATTGTAAACATTCACCAATAACAATAAAGGTGAAAGGTAAGTTGGGGGAGACCCAATTATAGTTTATCCTAAACAAAACAGAAAGGTGGGCATGGTGGCACATGCCTGTAATCCCAGCACTCAGGAGGCCAAGGCAGGAGGATTGTTGCAAGTTTGAGGTCAGCCTGAACTGCATAGAGAGACCCTGTCTCAAAAAGACCAAAAAAATTTCCTGAAAAACTATCTTGTAGATAACAATATGTAAAACAATAACCACTGATAATTTCCTACCACTTTGTCTGTAATTTGGTGATCGCCCCATTACTGTTATCCTTCTTTTACTCTTTAAAATAAAAATTAAAAACCTGAAAAAAAAAAAACAACCAAAAAAAGAAAAAAATTATTCCAGTAATTTAATAATGAAATGAACTTATATTCAAACCCTGAGCTGGTTAGGGTGGCAAGAATAAAATAACAAACCTGCCATCTATTTTGTTTTGTTTCCCTGCCATCTAATAATGGCCATAACTGCAATGTGACAGAGAAGTAAATTCTGCAGTAACCATGGTCTCCAATATTAACATACAGCTTTAGCTCCAAACTCAAGAGATAATAAGATCATAAAATGCTATGTTTAGACAAACGCAGTGGCTGTGGATTAACTAATTGTCTACTTGTAACACCCAGCTGAACCGAATCAGTGTGGTCCTGGGTGTGGAAGGCCCACCTGAGGATTGTTGCCAACAGCATAAAAGAGGAACTCCAGGCAAAGATGGTGCGCTGTTGATTCTCCTGGAGAAGCTTGTCACTCTGGCTTTCCTGATACGAGCTTGGCTGTTCTCACTGGAGGAGCTCAGGTCCTCAATGTTGCTGAGGATGGCTGTGGTTCTCTTCCAGAGCAGCTCTGGTTCTTACCCTGAGCGTTGGTTCTGGGCTCCAGTGTAGATTCCTCAACCTGCTGACACAGATCCTTCAGTCCGCTGGTGCAGACTTTATAGCTTCCACCAGTGACCTTTGGGCCTTCCCAGTGTAGATCCTTGATACAGACTCGGGTGAGACATTGTTGTTGGCTCTCAGCCTCCAGCTGGAGTCATGGAGGACATTGCAGTGGGATCCAGGCTCTTAGCTGGATTCTCTGGGTCTCTGGTGTGCGGACAAATCTCCCGTACTTTTTTGCATTTGACTCTTTGGGTGAATACTCCCATAAATGTTTCTTGTATTAAATCCTTTCCCTTGTTAGCTGGGCATGGTGGTGCATGCCTGTAATCCTAGCACTCAGGAGGCTGAGGCAAGAGCATTGTTGTGAGTTCGAGGGCAGCCTGGGCTACAAAGTGAGTTCAAGACCAGCCTGAATTGCATAGTGAGACCCTGTCTCAAAAAGACCAAAAAAAAAACAAAAAAACAACTTTTCCCATGTAAACCCCCAACTACCACAATGGTGAATATCTGAAATACCACTACTCTGTGATTTTTGAGGGGCGATTTCTGGGAGGCTGTGGAGGATTGAAAAGTTTGTCCCCAGTCTATGGCCATACCACCCTGAACGTGCCCGATCTCATCTGATCTTGGAAGCTAAGCAGGATCAGACCTGGTTAGTACATGGATGGGAAAAGTTTTGTCCCCAACTTGGATAATTTAGTGAGATACTCTCTCAAAATAATAAAAAAAAGGTCTGAGATTACAGCTCAGTGCAAAGGCCCTGGATTCAACCCCCCAAACCCCTACCTCAATCTCAATACACTGAAATTCTTATGTTGGCTGGGCATGACGGTACATGCCAGGATTCCAGCTACTTAAGAGGCTGAGACAGGAGGATCACAAGTTCAAGCCCAGTTTTGGCAAGTTAGCAACTTAGTGAGATCCTATCTCAAAATTCAAAACACATCTAGTGAAGTAGCTCAGTGCAAAGGACCTAGGTTCAATCCCCAATAATTATGCCCCCCCCACCATGTTTGACTGGGCATGGTGGTACATGTCTGTGACCCCAGGTCTTGGGAGGCTGAGGCAGGAGGATCAGCAGTTTGATGCCAGTTGAACTACACAGAGTTCAGTGCTAGCCTGGACTATAAAGTGAGATCTTGTCTCAAAAACCAACACACCCAAAACAAACAAACAAAACCAAAATACCAAAAATTTGTGTTCAATGATAGCAAGCAGAATGTTAAGGAAAAATAATTTCCATGAAAATACAAATTTCTCATAATTGTTTAGAGTTGGTTTTCAGATCAATACTTATGAAGGTATTTCACATATACAGGGAATTTGGGAAACAGAAATTTCAGTGTATACTTTTGTAAAATCTAATTCTACCACTAGGTGGCAACATATAAGCAAAATACTGTACTGCAAACAGTCATCCTCATCACTGTCTCAAAAACAAAAAAAACACAAAATTAAAAGGGTGGTGAGCCAGGCATGGTGGTGCATGCCTGTAAGAACAGCATTCAGGAGGCTGAGGCAGGAGTTCAAGGCCAGCCAGAACTGCATGGTGAGACCATGTCCTCCTTCAAAAAAAATTTTTAAAAAGTGGTGAGAATGTATTTCAGTAAGAAGGTCCTGGGCTCAATCTCCAGTACAGAGGGTGTCTTGTAGAATTTAGGGGTAATTTTGCTAGACTTTCTGCTTTAGTATTTTCTTTTGTTGTTTTGAGACAGGGTCTCAGTATGTAGTTCAGACTGGCCTTAAACTATGTGGCTTAGGCTGGCCTTGAACTAAGTGATCCTCCTGCCTTAGTGTTCCTAGTGCTGGGATTATGTGTGACTCACCACACTCAGCTCAAGTACTTTGAGACAGTCTCACTATGTAGTTCAGGCTGGCTTCAGACTCATATAGTGATCCTCTTGCCTCAGCCTCCCGAGTGCTGCGATTACAGGTGTGTGCCATGAAGCTCAAAACCTGCTTCACTATCCTCGTAGAATGTATCCCTTTTAGAACACTAAAAGGTCTTTGTGGATAAAACATTACCCAGCCAGCACAAAATACTAGCCTAGAATTCAGCTGCAGGTAACCTTATTTTTACTGGTTTCTGTGCTTTCATAACAGGTGGTTGAAACAGATAAGGTTAAGGGGTTGGCAAACTATAGCTTATAGACTAAGCCTGGCTCCCTACATGGTATAAATGACTTGTCAGTTGCATTTTGTTTTTATTTTTATTTTTTTAGTCTTTTTGACACAGGGTCTCGCTATGCAGTTCAGGCTGGCCTTGAGCTCACTTTGTAGCCCAGGCTGCTCTCGAACTCACAACGATCCTCCTGCCTCAGCCTCCCGAGTGTTGGGATTACAGGCATGCACCACCACGCCCGGAGTCAGTTGCATTTTAAATGGTTAAGAAAAGAAAAAGGGCAGGGCATACTGTTACATGTCTGTAATCCCAGTAGTGGTAGGCTAAGGCAGGAGGATTGAGCCTATCCTTTACACTTTAGCAATTTACTGAGACCTTGCCTCAGAATAAAATTTTTTTCAAAGGCCTGGGAATGTAAGGTCAGTGCAAAGGCCCCAGGTTTCAATCCCTTGTACTGAAAAACAAATTAAGAGTGGATACTGTATTAGTTTGTGCGTCAAGACTATGTGTTCAGGCAGAAAAAAAAAGAGTTAAAGGCGTTATCAGTAGAGTTTTTCCCTTTTCCTACAAAGGGCTATTTTTCTCAAAGACATCCTGCAGATTTCCGCTTACATTTAATGTGCCAGATCTCAATTATGTGGTGAACTCTAGAGAAATCAGATTACAAACATGATTGCTGGTGGTGGTGGGGTTACTGAGCATTGAACCCAGCGTCTTACACTAAGTGCTCTACCACTGAGCTATACTGGCAGTGATCTCTCCTCTGGTACTGGGGACTGAACCCACAGCCTTCACACTGAACTACATCCCTGTAGTTTTGAGGCAAGATGTCACTAAATTGTCCAGGCAGGTCCTGAAAATGTGATCCTCCCTCCTCAGCTTTCCAGGCATGAGCCAATATGCCTGATTGTTGGTTTAAACAAATCACAAATGTTCCTTGTGGAAACCTTTTCTTAAATCAAGGTCTAAGTGATGCCACCTGAAAAAATTTGGATCGGCAGTAAAAAAGGTGAGGGTGGAACATCTATTGGATAGATAATGTTGGCTACAGAATCGAAGATCAAGTGTGCAGAGATCCAAGATTTGTGGGAAAAACAAAGAAAACGGGAATACTTTGGCAAAATTCCTCTATGTCAGAATTACCTGCTTGCCGGGAATATAGCTCAGCGGCACAGCACCTGCCTGGCAAGCGCAAGGTCCCATGTTCGATTCCCGGCACCAAATAAAAATAAAAATAACCTGCTCATACCAAACAACTTAAAGCAGATTGGACAGAAAATTTATGGCACCAACTGCAAAGACAGGAAAGGCAAAGCATGTTGGGTAAGGTGGGCCAGGAAGTGAGTTGTGATATAATTAGACAAAATTTATTATAAAATTACGACATAGACTTTCTTTTAAAAAGTTTTTAAATCGGGCCTCTTAGCGCACACCTGTAATCCCAGCACTCGGGAGGCTGAGGCAGAACGATAGGTGTGAGTTCAAGGCCAGCCTGGAGTACACAGTGAAGCCGTATCTCAAAAAGAGAATAAACAAACAAATGAATGGTTTTTAGTTTTTATATTTATTACTATTTTTCTTTTCAAATTGTTTTTCCCAGGGCCTTTCTTAATAGTTGCTCTGGTGACAGTTCTGAGACCATGACACACAGTCATAACGGTTGTGAGAATATTCCGATCTTCCGGCCTCTGAAGTCACATCCCTAAACACTCAGGCCGGACCCGGGAACCAGCGTAGAAGGCGTAAGCGCCGCTAGGTGTTAGGAAATTTTCCTAAGGGCATGTAGTTGTTACCACAATGCCACCCCAGCCGAGCTGCCCGCATGGTCACAGCTTCGACTGTCTCCTGTCAAGTGAGGCGGTGACAGGCACCCTCTCGCGTGAAAACGGGGCGCTGCCGCGCTGGCACCCCACCCCGCCATGTCTAGTCCCGTCAACGTCAAGGTGTCTCCGCACTCGAGATGGATGCGCCGCACGGAACTGCAGGGTAGCGACAGGCAGGGACCCGGGCTAGGGCGGAACCGGGCTGTTCCATTCTCGCAGAGCGCCGCGGGGAGAGGCCCGCAGCGCCCCGGGCCGGCGCCCCGCTGACCCCGCTCCC